CCAGCAGACCAGGCTTTTGTTTTGGACTCTGGGGCAGAGCAGCTGGGGCGCTGCCGATTGGTCCTGCAGCGCCCGCTCTGGGCACTACTGGACCAACCCGGCAGCACCCCAGCTGCTCTGCCCCAGGTCCTGATTCAGCCGCTGCTGGTCAGTTTCAGCAGCGGCTGAATCAGGACGCCTGGGGCAGAGCAGATGGGGTGCTGCTAGGTTGGTCCAGTAGCACCCAGGAGCGGCGCTACTGGAGCAACCCAGCAGCACCCCAGCTGCTCTGCCCCAGGCGTCCCCAAGTCAGCTTCTGCTGAAACTGACCAGAGCTGACTACAGGAAGCCCCAGGCAGAGTTGCTCTGCCCCGGGCTTCCTGGAATCAGCTGCTGATCAGTTTCAGCAGCAGCTGACTTGGGGACGCCTGGGGTTCTTAAGTTGATTCTGTATGTAAGTCAGAACTGGCGGTCAGTTTCAGCAGTGTCTGAATCTGGACGCCAGTTCCGACTTACATACAGATTCAACTTAAGAACAAACCTACAGTCCCTATCTTGTACGTAACCCGGGGACTGCCTGTAGTAATAAACATTGCTACTTTTCTGGGAAAATTAAAATATGAACTGAAAATAAAGCATTCTACTTATATCAAACACTGTTTTGTTATTGTTGTTTTTTTAAATCTACCTGGTCATCACCATAAAGAATCATGCATTCCTCAGGGTTGATGCAACTAAAAAAAAAGATGAAAAAAAATGGTAAGTGCGATCTAGTCTGAACATTTCAATTTAAAAGAAACAAAAGTAGTACCGACTTCAACATATGTTAGACAAAACAAATGCCCTGTTCACACTGGTGTCCATGTCCACATGCCCCAGCCACTTGGGGGAGGGAGCACAGAAAAAATGGATGTTCCCGCACTCTGAACCACTCCCCCCGCCTAGCACTCCCCCTTGCTCTGACTCAGGGCCCTTCAAATCCCTAATCCACTTCTGTTCACAGGTATAGTATTCTGTGAAGACTAAATTCAGGCCTGGTACAAGGATAAATGTTCTACTTAACTCTATGGGAGGCCTATCTATTTACACTAGAGATTAATTTAGTCCTCAGCAAATTAATGTTAATGGAGAGGACTCCTTTATCTTACTTATTGCTAAAAACAGGTTGGAATAGGATGACATTCATACAGCCCACCCTCTTAAGTGTGATACCACAACTAACAATCAAACCAGCGAGCAATACGCATGCAAGAGAGATTCCTGATAATCCAATGGCTTAGGATACCTTAAAAAAAATCACATAAAGCTCTGGGATGAAAACCATGGTCAATAATTCTGCTTCTCAGGCATAATATAAGTTTCTATCACAAAGGTGACTGTGACGGGGCGAATAGGCCCCGCACTGCAGGGCCGGGAGTAGCCCAGGCCCAGCTGGCGGAGAGGGCCCCGCCCTTCCGGCCCTGCTGGGCATGCTCCCAGCAGAGGCCAGGTATAAAGGCAGAGGGAGCCCAGCAGGCAAACAAACAGCTGGGGGAGGTAGGAGACCAGGCCAGGCCAGGCCAGGCCAGGCCAGGGTTTTTGCAGCCGCTGGGACCGGAGCTGCTGCCAGTGCTGGACCCTGACCCCAAGGAAGCAGACCCCGATGCTGGGAGACCGGAACGTCCCCACAACCCCGGCAGGTCCTGCCTCAGAGGCCAATGGGCCCCAGGGGAACCGGGGCGCGGTAGGAAGCAGCCCAGGGCAGGGGATACAAAGTCTGGCTCCGTGTGTAGCGGCCGGATTCCCCGCCGAGCCGGCAGGAGCCACAGACCCTGCCTAAAAGGGCCCTGGGCTGGGACCCGGTGGAGAGGGAGGGCCCGGGTCCCCCTACCACGCAGGGCCCCCCCTCGGACAGCCAGGCCTGGGGCCAGGAGAGGCTCCTCAGAGGGACTAGGCCTTTGATACCGTATATCCCCTGATAGAGGGGCCTGGACTTTGTGTTGAGACATTGGATACTGTATATCCCCGGATAGAGGGGCCTGAACTTTTGGGGACTTTGGGGTGTGGTATAGGCCCGGACTGAGATGCGGGTCAGTAAAAGGGGGTCAGCAGCCCCCATCAGGGGTGTCTCCCCTGACAGTGACATTCATCTGTACAGGAGACAAAAACTTAGTAGAGACCGATCCAAGACTGCAGAATGAATTCTTCTAAGAACTGAGGTCCACCACAAACCTCACAACCTTCTGTTCCAAGTGAAAGGTACACATTTGGCTTCTTTTCTTTGCCATGAACACACGAAAAGAGCAAACCACACGACAGGTGTTAGTTATGTTGTTTATGAACTACCAGCAGGCACTTGGATATTACAGGGATTAGGGCAATGGAGGTAGTGATGAGGGAGAACACAAATAATACTTCTCTATCTGTAGCCAGACAGGAACCTCCCCTGTAACATCCATCTTTGCTTGCTTGGATCATTCAGGACACACAGAGCAGTAAAAGCCTTCAGCAGAAGGCCTGGATATGCAGGCTGCTGTGACCCTGAATGGCTGTAAACAGAGATACGCCAATTGCTGACCAAGAGGCTGCCGAGGAGTGCCCTTGACTAAAACCCATATTGATACGAACACACAGCCGTCCACGGGGGGAGGAATCTCTCGCCCAGTAAAAAAATGTCCAGTACTCACAGTTTAGTTATCTCTCTTGCAAGTGTAAATAACTCAACTTGCTTATAAGAACTGGCGTCACAAAGACAGACCAACACAATTTGGCATTTTAGATAAGAAAGAGGATACGGGCTCCTATGGGTATAAAGATGGTTCCAGAAGCACATTTACTCTGAGCGTCAATCTACCATCTATCTGCTGGTCGGGTTAGGCGTTTGACCTCCCAAGGTTCCGTGGGGACGCCCACCTTGTATTCGTCTTTCCTAGGAATTGAGGGACCGGCCCTGGCTTGACCCGCTGGAGTCGAGAGGCATAGAAGGGGGTAAAAATTGTACCTGGATGTGGTCCCTTGTCTTGCGTGTACACATAGACTTAGAGCTCTTTAAAGCTGTCACTTGGTACCATTATTTCTATTTTCTATCTTTATTTTCTTTGTAACCATTTTTAAGATCTATATTTGCTAGCAGTTGAGAAATAGAGCAATAGCCATTGTAACCATATGATTTATAAGCTTCTTTAATAAATATTTTGTTTAATAGACCTGTAACTGTGTAAGTTTTAATCTGACTCCTTCAGTTGCTGTAACAGAATCAAGCACAATTTAAAAGAACTTCAACCAGTCATAAGGGACAGGTATAGGGAGAGCTTGGGCGTTTTGTATTGTGTCACTTCCAGAGGACAGACCTGTTGGGGCATCTCTCAGTCTTCCATAGACTGCCCGCTGCGAAGGGATCCTGTATCCTAGCAGTTGAAATCTGAAATTAAATTGAATTTTCTTCCCATAAGCAGACATATCATCATTTCTGACCCCTTCCGGAAAAGGGACCAGTGTAGACGAGCCCAATATGTCGAGTCCTGCTAATACGTATATAGGATCTTGAGCTTTTATGGATAAAGCCCACTTTACCTCCACACAAGCTTGAGAGGTTAAAAATTGCTGTAAATTGGCTGTGGCATAACTGTGGGGCGTCTGTCAGCCTGTTGACTGTCCTCCGCGACAGGACCCCGGTCCTAGCAGTAAAGACACAGACATTAAACCTTTACTCAGGGTGCCCTTCAGCCTCCTAGGCTGCCCGCTGCGATGGGACCTTGTGTCTCAGCAGTTGAAGGCTTGGGTGTAACACACACACACATACTTTCACACACACACACACACACACACACACACACACACCCACACACTGCCCTGACCATTGGCTGACACGATGTTAGCCCTGTTTTTGTACTTTATTGCATTTACACAATGTGTAAGCCACTCCCTCGTTCATGTCTTTGTGAGTTTGGCCTGAACATTTCCAAGGACCCATTTACACCAGCAATTTAATGCAGAGTTTAATGCTATAAACTAGATCAGACTCTGAATATGGGAGGAGGGGACAAGAGGGAGAAGGGTTAAGTGAAGAAAAACAGTGGCTCAGCATGTCCTGTTCTGTTGAATATCTTCATTAAAGATTTAGATAATAACAAAGAGTGTCTGTGGTTAATACCAAGGTGGAAGGCAAGACAAGTGCTTTGGAGGACAGGATTAAAATTCAAAATGATCTGGACTAACTGAAGAAATGATGGGAAGTAAACAGGAAGTAAACGGGTAGGAGGATGGTGGGAAAAGGAGGGGGTTACTTTTACTTCTGGTCATGTGTCCATCTTGACCCTAAGAGTCGGGGGCATAGTAAACAGAGGTCATGGGGTGTAGGTAAAGTGTCCCTAATTTTGGTTTAGAAAATATGGTCACCATACATGGAGAGAACAGAGTTCAAATGGCCGTCCTTAAAAGGGGCAAGCTTCCTTTGTCTTTGCTACCACCTGCCCAACTGATTTTTTTTTTTTTTGCTCAACAAAAATCCTTGGTGTTCCCCATAAAAAAAATTGTTTGGCATTCCTTGGTCTTAAAAAGTTTAAGAAACACTGTCCTAGAGGGTCCAATTCTTTAGTGTTTACTCAGAAGAACTTCCAGTGTCAGGCCCAAAAAGGGAACTTAAAACACATGCTGAACTTTTATTACAGATGTATAACATTCTAGAGTATGCAGGAAGAAGTCAGTCAATCCAATAGCTCACAGATCAAATATATTCAAAGTTTCAATATTATGCCCACAGAATTGAGTTAGGCTTCAACATAAAAGATTTTCAATTATAAAACTGTTTAAAGAGAAATGTTCACTTAACTGTTCTATGGGGCATCATACATTTTTTCACTACCTGCTTGAATTTCTCCACATCCAGTGATTTACAACCATTCTTTTCTAACTCCTAAAAGAATCAACAACAGGCAAAGCACAGTTATATACTGAAAAGGAGTACCTTTGATTTACTTATTGTAAAAAAGCATCGCTGTGTCAGTACCTTAACGTGAACCTAATCCTCAGGGCCATTTCCTCTTTTAAACTTGGTCATAGTCTTATACTATATATAGTGGGATCCCACATGATTTTTTACACTATACAAGTCTAAAATATAAGCACATAAGAGCAGTCCTACTTGGTCAGACCAAAGGCCCATCTAGCGCAGTATCCTGTCTTCGAACAGTTGCCAAAGACAGGGGTTTCAGAGGGAATGAGCAGAACAGGTAATTATCAAGTGACTCATCTCCCTGTCATCCATTCCCAACTTCAGGAAAACAGAGGCTAGGGACACCATCCTTGCCAAAAGCCATTGATTAACCTAGTTCTTTTTATAACCTGTTATAGTCTTGGCCTTCACAACATCTTCTGGCAAGGAGTTCCACAAGCTGACTATGCATTATGTGAAGAAATACTTCATTTGTTTTAAACCTGCAGCCTATTAATTTCATTTGGCAACCCCTAGTTATTGTTTTATGAGAAGGAGTAAATAGAACTTCCATATTTACTTTCTCTATACCAGTCATGATTTTATAGACTTCTAGGATAGCCCCGCTTAATCACCTTTTTCCAAGCTGAAATATCCCTATCTTATTTATAGGGAAGCTGTTCCATACCCCTAATAGTTTTTGTTGTCCTTTTCTGAACTTTTCCCAATTTAAATAGATCTTTTCTGAGAGGGGGCAACCACATCTGCATGCATTTTATTCAACATGTGGGTGTACCATGGAATCCATTCCTTTCTTCATGGCTCCCAACATTCTGTTTTTGTCTCTTCCTTCCCAGCTCTTCCTTGTTTGACTGCTGCAGCACATTGAGTGGATGTTTTCAGAGAACTATCCACAGTGACTCCAAGATCTCCTTCTTCCATGGTAAAAGCTAATTTAGACCCCATCATTTTATTTCTACAGCTTGGATTATGTTTTCTAATGTTCATTCCTTTGCATTTATCAACATTGAATTTCATCTGCCATTTTGTTGCCCAGTCACACAGTTCTGAGAGATCTTTTTGTAGCTCTTTGCTACAAAAAAGTCTTTGCAGTCTCCCTGGGACTTAACATTCTTGATTAGTTTGTATCATCTGCACATTTTGCCACCTCACTGTTTCTCTCTTTTTCCAGAATGCTGAATAGAACTGGTAAAGATCCCTGAGGACATCACTATTTACCTGTCTCCATTCTGAAAACTGACCATTTATTCCTATTCTTTAACTAGCTATCTAAATCCTTAAGTTCAACCTAAAATATTCTTTACCAAAAAGCAAACTAGGAATGACCAAAGTTATGAAAATGAGGTGTGAGTGATGATTACATTTGGAAACAACCCTCAATTTATAGTGCACATATTAACAGCATTCAACAAAAGCACAAAACAGGAAAGCTCTGGAGCACTAACCATAATTCTAAAAATGATTACTGTATTACAGTGGTTCCAAAATAGGGTCATCACTGTACAGAGCAAAACAGTTCCTGTCCCAAAAGGTTTATTTCTAAACCATACATTGCTATGCATAAACCGGGAACTTCCTTTTGTGATCATGGCTATGTACTGATATGATTTCACTGATAAAGTCATACCTGAAATGCTGTGTTTAGTTTCTGAAGTTGTTCAAGGGTCACTTGTTGTTCAATCTTGCCAAAATAAAAAGAGAAAGAAAGAGTGAAAAATACATATGCAAACACCTAGAGCCCACAATTAGTAAAATTTTGCAGTGGATTATTCAGACACAAAAGTTATCAGCATACAATTAGGGTTGCCAGGTGTCCAGTATTGAACTGGACAGTCCATTATTTTCACCTCCTGTCCGGTAAAAATAATTCAGAAAATACAGGACACCTAAAATGTCTGGTACTTTCTGATTTTTTCCTGGCCAGGAGGCAAAAATCCCAGGCTGTCCAGCTCAATGCGGAGGCAGCCTGGCAACCCTAGTGCTTACCAGGGAGATGTCTGGTCCAGCGCAGAGAGGCAAGATGGCGGGCGGACGCCGGCAGCCTGCTAGGGCCAAAAAGACTCACCATGCAATTTTTTTTAAAGGGGCCATGTTGTTGTTGTTTTTATTATTTGTTTTGGGGTGGTTTTTTGCTTAACTTTTGGGGTCCTTTTTGGGGGGGGTCAGAATTTTTTCTGAAACCATCTGGCAACCCTACATACAATGGAATATACAACTGACATAAAGCCTGAGAGTGCGCTCATGTCTAAAAGGGAGTATAGAGGAAAGAAAAGGAACTCAGACAATACTGAACTAAAATCCCTGCAGAAATCCAGTAAAATCATTTAAAGGCTGGGAGAATCATCTTAGAGCCCAATAGATAGATCAGTTGTTTCCAATTAATTTACTGAGAGTTCTAGTAAATGAGAGAAGAACAGGATTCATTATGTATGAAGTTCAATTTACTTCCTTGCACTCAAGGACTGTACATTTCTTAGAGTCTCCTAGCTTGTACAACTGCTTCCCCTAATAGAACCATACTGCTGCAATTACAATGGCCTTTCCCTCAGAGTCAATTGCTCAAACTAAGAGCTTCCCCGTCTTTCTTCCACTTAGAAGAAACATCTAGCAAGAGTGAAAAATATTGATTCTTAGCTAATAACAGCAATAAAAGCTGCTTCCTCAAAAGAAATATCACTCCTAATTTCTAATGCAAGGGAACCACAAAATGTGGAGTTATACTGGACAAATACTTGCTCTTTAACAGGGGTGAGCAATAATTTTTGATGGGAGGCACTCCAATAATTTGGTAAGTGGTAGAAGGCTGCACTCTTCCATTATATTAATGGAGAAAGTGTGGCGTTCTAGGATAGAGGTTGGATGCAGAAGGGAGATTGGGATAAGGTACTGGGGTGTGGGATCTGGAAGGAAGTTTGGGTGAAAGAGGGGATTTGTGACCTGAGGTGCAGGAGGGGGTTCAGGGTCTGGGAGGGGAGCATGACCTGGGATAGGGATGCAGGGATAGGGTATTGAGGTGCAGGGTCTGGGAGGGGTATAGGTGCAGGAGAGGATTCTGGCCTTGGGGACAGGTGTAGGAGGAGGGAATGCAGGATCTAGGAGGGGGTTGTAACCTGAGACAGGAGTGCAGGAGGGGGTGCAGGGTTGTGACCAGAGACAACGGACTCAGGTGCAAGGACTGGGGTTGTGACTTAAGGAGGGGCATAGGAGGGGATGCAGTGTCTGGGAAGATGGATGAGGGCTGGAGCAGGGATACAGATTATTTGGGTTACATAGGGTAGGGGTGCAGAAGTGGGGCAGAGGGCTGTGGAAGGGAGGGACCAGGATGTCAGAGGCAGGCTCTGGCTGGGAGACCTTACCTGGAAAACTCCCAGCCAGCAGCTCAGCAGGTTTCCAACCTTCCACGCCCTGTACATGCTCAGAGCATCTGCAAGGGCCATGTTTGCTGCTGTGAACTGAATACTGTGAGTCTGGGAGATGAGGGGTACTTCACATGCGACCTGTCCTGAAAACAGGCAGCTGCTATAGGCTGGAAACCAGTCAATGGGAGCTACTGGGGGCAGCAGCAGTGTGAGAAGCCTCTCACCCCCTCCTTCTGGTCTCTCATCACTCAAACATACACACAATCCTGCAGCTAGCTTTTCTGAGTCCTGAGCAGGGGCAGGGCAGGCAGGAAGCTGGCTGAGGCTCCCGTGGACCAGATTCGGTAGCTTGTCAGGTCAGATCCAGCCCATGGACCATATTTTGACCAACCCTACTCTAACCGATTGACTGATCTGACTCAATGTGCTTGATCGTTAAAAAAAAAAGGAAAAAAAAGTCACCAGGTCAAGCTGCCACAGAATCCCAAATGTGACAAACTATCCCAGTCTTGAATTGCTTCCATGTGTTGCATGAAACAATCTGAGAACTGAATAAACCAAATTGAATTAGAATGTGAAGTTGATGGATCACATTAAATAGTAATAGTCTTCTAATGCACAAGTTAAACCAGTTTCTTCTTTCCCCTCTGATTGTTTTCTTAAATAGAAATGTTGCATCAATGCAAAGAAAATCCCAACTGTACATTCTCTAAATTAAGATTCAATCCTACCCCAACTGAAGACAACAGGGGCTTCTAAAAGCCTGTAATTGGAATAGGATCAAACTTGTTCTTTGTCTTATCAAAATCAGCTTTAAATTAAACCTTATGACAGTCTGAAGGCCTGATCCTATAAATATTGATAGTAGTCAACTTTAACTGACTGTTTTCAATTTTCTACTGAAGCCGAACACATTGCTGGAGATGCTCACACCATCACACAATCAGATCCTCAAATATGAAATATGTTTTATACATACCTCTGTGACAACAAAGCAAAAGACCATCTATCTTTTCTTTCCTCTGAATTCCTTTGAATCCAGAAGGCAATATTTACTGTGTTTTAGATGATGTTACTTATTAAGTAGAATGACAAGCAATTGTTTCAAACATTCACTAAGCTGCATTCATCAATAATTTATTGAATGAGCAATGTGTATTTTGAAGCTGTAGTCTATCAGACACTACCATTGTGGGCTTCATTGAAACGATAAATAATGAATCAGGCTGCACTTCAGTTTGGTGATACTTATGACTAACAACGTAGGGTATGTCTACACTAGTCCCCTAGTTCGAACTAGAGAGGCTAATGTAAGCATTCGAAGTTGCAAATGAAGCCCGGGATTTAAATATCCGGGGCTTTATTTGCATCTTCCCGTCTGGGCGCCATTTTTAAGTCCCCCTAGTCCAAACTAATTGCCTCATTGAATGAGCTGTAACAGTTAACTCGAACTAAGGACTTAGTTCGAGTTAACGTTTGACTGCCGTGTGTAGCCACGGGCAGTTAGTTTGGACTAAGGGGATTTAAAAATGGCGCCCGGACAGGAAGATGCAAATAAAGCCCCAGATATTTAAATCCCGGGCTTCATTTGCAACTTCGAATGCCTACATTAGCCGCCCTAGTTCAAACTAGGGGGCTAGTGTGGACCTGAATAGCGTCTAAGGACCAACCACAGATAAGGCCCTATTGTGATAGGCACTATACAAGCAGAGTAGCAGGTTGTCCCTGCCCCAAAGAGTTTACAGTCTAAGTAGACAGACAGACACAAAGTGGGGGAAATGTCATAAACACACAAACAGAGCAAACAATGTGATGGCAGCAAACCTGACGTTAGTTCCATAATTTTTTGAGGTCAGATGAGTTTAGTTTAGAAGAGATCAACTACCTGGAAAGAAAAGTGAAGGGTGAGAGGACACCGAGGGGGGCAGGAGGGCAAGGGGGACTAGGCAGGAGAGACAGTGGTAAGAGGGGCAGGTGTAGAGTGCTGCTAAGTGAAGAAACTGTGAGAAAGGTGAAGAAGAGGATTGCAGCAAACTGCCAATTATCACAAGACAAAGAAAGTCCAGTCAAAACTGTACATTGTTCTCTGAATTATGTTTTGTCTGCTCCTATTTCCACTAGACCAGCAGTTCCCAACCCGTGGCCCACGGGTTGCATGCAGCACAATAAGCATACCACTGCGGCCCAGCTGTCTGCTAAAAAAAAAATCAGAATTTGCTTTGATCTGGTAGGGGTTGGGACTGGCAGAGGGGAAAACAGCAACATCTTGCACCAGCCTTCATGAGTTGCTCCTGCCAGCAGGGATCTAGTGAGTGAGTGCTGAAAGGGGACAGGGAGTGGGACAGTGAGTAGAAATGGGGAGAGGGAATCTGGGGGGGGGAGGGGCAATGGGAACTATAGCTTTCCTGGGGTGCAGTAGCACCTTCAAGTTTTAGGTGAGGCTCCACTGCAGGGGTCAGGGTTTACTTCTCGACTCCATATGGTGGGGTGCAGGTTTCGCTTTTCACAGCGTGGGTCCATGGGAGGGTGGGGGTGGGGAATCCAGCATCTAGCCTCACTGCATGGTCCAGGATCCAACTGCCCGGTTCCATACGGGGGAACTGGGTCCTGGCTGACTGGCTCAGTGCCTAGGGCTTGGCTCCTGGCACCACTTTGGGCAGGGTGTTGGACATACGGCCACCCAGTCTCACTTGGCCCTGCAGAGGAGGAGTCCCATGATCCTGCCTGAACTTACTGCATGATCTGGGGTCCAGCTGCCCAGTCCCATGCAGGGTGTCCAGATCTCTGCTGCCTGGTCCAGGGCCCCACTCTGGTTCAGAGCACTAGGCATAGGGGTAAATGAGGGCTTGGGGGGGGCACTGTGGTTCTCAACCTATGGCCCACATTACACACTCTTGTCCCCACCACGGCCACATGAGGGGATGGGGATGAAGTGTGAATTCTTAGTTTCCCTAGAGAGGGGGGTGGGGTATTTTCCTTGTAATGTTCTGGGTCCCGGGATACTGGGAGACGTGATAGCCCTCGCTAGACCTCATTTTACCTGTCCCTGCCCCTACCAGTACAGCATTCTCTACTTGGCTCCTTCTGCCACAGCTCCTATTGGCCAAAGTCTTTAGCTGGTTCACTTAAAAGTTCCTTCTTATCGACAATAACTGTGGTAAACTGAGCGTACATCATGACAGAGCTAACAGACTCAACAACAATTCTCAGCCACCCCACTGGAGGCTGCTTTTCAGTTTGTCTTCCAAGTGCTTATACAGATGACACTTCTTTCTTTTGCCTTGACTCAGTGCCCCATACAAGATCTGTTTGGGAGATGGAC